GCTTCCTCGTGTATATCCTACAGTGTTACCTGATATGGTTCTGTGTCACTGTTTGGCTCCAGCTTCCTCGTGTTTATCCTACAGTGTTGCCTGATATGGTTCTGTGTCACTGTTTGGCTCCAGCTTCCTCGTGTTTATCCTACAGTGTTACCTGATATGGTTCTGTGTCACTGTTTGGCTCCAGCTTCCTCGTGTTTATCCTACAGTGTTGCCTGATATGGTTCTGTGTCACTGTTTGGCTCCAGCTTCCTTGTGTTTATCCTACAGTGTTACCTGATATGGTTCTGTGTCACTGTTTGGCTCCAGCTTCCTTGTGTTTATCCTACAGTGTTACCTGATATGGTTCTGTGTCACTGTTTGGCTCCAGCTTCCTCGTGTATATCCTACAGTGTTGCCTGATATGGTTCTGTGTCACTGTTTGGCTCCAGCTTCCTTGTGTTTATCCTACAGTGTTACCTGATATGGTTCTGTGTCACTGTTTGGCTCCAGCTTCCTTGTGTTTATCCTACAGTGTTGCCTGATATGGTTCTGTGTCACTGTTTGACTCCAGCTTCCTTGTGTTTATCCTAGTGTTGCCTGATATGGTTCTGTGTCACTGTTTGGCTCCAGCTTCCTTGTGTTTATCCTACAGTGTTACCTGATATGGTTCTGTGTCACTGTTTGGCTCCAGCTTCCTCGTGTTTATCCTACAGTGTTGCCTGATATGGTTCTGTGTCACTGTTTGGCTCCAGCTTCCTTGTGTATATCCTACAGTGTTGCCTGATATGGTTCTGTGTCACTGTTTGGCTCCAGCTTCCTCGTGTATATCCTACAGTGTTGCCTGATATGGTTCTGTGTCACTGTTTGGCTCCAGCTTCCTTGTGTTTATCCTACAGTGTTGCCTGATATGGTTCTGTGTCACTGTTTGGCTCCAGCTTCCTTGTGTTTATCCTACAGTGTTGCCTGATATGGTTCTGTGTCACTGTTTGGCTCCAGCTTCCTCGTGTATATCCTACAGTGTTACCTGATATGGTTCTGTGTCACTGTTTGGCTCCAGCTTCCTTGTGTATATCCTACAGTGTTACCTGATATGGTTCTGTGTCACTGTTTGGCTCCAGCTTCCTCGTGTATATCCTACAGTGTTACCTGATATGGTTCTGTGTCACTGTTTGGCTCCAGCTTCCTTGTGTATATCCTACAGTGTTACCTGATATGGTTCTGTGTCACTGTTTGGCTCCAGCTTCCTCGTGTATATCCTACAGTGTTACCTGATATGGTTCTGTGTCACTGTTTGGCTCCAGCTTCCTCGTGTATATCCTACAGTGTTGCCTGATATGGTTCTGTGTCACTGTTTGGCTCCAGCTTCCTTGTGTTTATCCTACAGTGTTACCTGATATGGTTCTGTGTCACTGTTTGGCTCCAGCTTCCTCGTGTTTATCCTACAGTGTTACCTGATATGGTTCTGTGTCACTGTTTGGCTCCAGCTTCCTCGTGTTTATCCTACAGTGTTGCCTGATATGGTTCTGTGTCACTGTTTGGCTCCAGCTTCCTCGTGTTTATCCTACAGTGTTACCTGATATGGTTCTGTGTCACTGTTTGGCTCCAGCTTCCTTGTGTATATCCTACAGTGTTACCTGATATGGTTCTGTGTCACTGTTTGGCTCCATCTTCCTCGTGTATATCCTACAGTGTTGCCTGATATGGTTCTGTGTCACTGTTTGGCTCCAGCTTCCTTGTGTTTATCCTACAGTGTTGCCTGATATGGTTCTGTGTCACTGTTTGGCTCCAGCTTCCTTGTGTTTATCCTACAGTGTTGCCTGATATGGTTCTGTGTCACTGTTTGGCTCCAGCTTCCTCGTGTATATCCTACAGTGTTGCCTGATATGGTTCTGTGTCACTGTTTGGCTCCAGCTTCCTCGTGTTTATCCTACAGTGTTGCCTGATATGGTTCTGTGTCACTGTTTGGCTCCAGCTTCCTTGTGTTTATCCTACAGTGTTGCCTGATATGGTTCTGTGTCACTGTTTGGCTCCAGCTTCCTCGTGTATATCCTACAGTGTTGCCTGATATGGTTCTGTGTCACTGTTTGGCTCCAGCTTCCTTGTGTTTATCCTACAGTGTTGCCTGATATGGTTCTGTGTCACTGTTTGGCTCCAGCTTCCTCGTGTATATCCTACAGTGTTACCTGATATGGTTCTGTGTCACTGTTTGGCTCCAGCTTCCTTGTGTTTATCCTACAGTGTTGCCTGATATGGTTCTGTGTCACTGTTTGGCTCCAGCTTCCTCGTGTATATCCTACAGTGTTACCTGATATGGTTCTGTGTCACTGTTTGGCTCCAGCTTCCTTGTGTTTATCCTACAGTGTTGCCTGATATGGTTCTGTGTCACTGTTTGGCTCCAGCTTCCTCGTGTATATCCTACAGTGTTACCTGATATGGTTCTGTGTCACTGTTTGGCTCCAGCTTCCTTGTGTTTATCCTACAGTGTTGCCTGATATGGTTCTGTGTCACTGTTTGGCTCCAGCTTCCTTGTGTATATCCTACAGTGTTACCTGATATGGTTCTGTGTCACTGTTTGGCTCCAGCTTCCTTGTGTATATCCTACAGTGTTACCTGATATGGTTCTGTGTCACTGTTTGGCTCCAGCTTCCTCGTGTATATCCTACAGTGTTACCTGATATGGTTCTGTGTCACTGTTTGGCTCCAGCTTCCTTGTGTTTATCCTACAGTGTTACCTGATATGGTTCTGTGTCACTGTTTGACTCCAGCTTCCTTGTGTTTATCCTACAGTGTTGCCTGATATGGTTCTGTGTCACTGTTTGGCTCCAGCTTCCTCGTGTATATCCTACAGTGTTACCTGATATGGTTCTGTGTCACTGTTTGGCTCCAGCTTCCTTGTGTATATCCTACAGTGTTGCCTGATATGGTTCTGTGTCACTGTTTGGCTCCAGCTTCCTTGTGTTTATCCTACAGTGTTACCTGATATGGTTCTGTGTCACTGTTTGGCTCCAGCTTCCTTGTGTTTATCCTACAGTGTTGCCTGATATGGTTCTGTGTCACTGTTTGGCTCCAGCTTCCTTGTGTATATCCTACAGTGTTACCTGATATGGTTCTGTGTCACTGTTTGGCTCCAGCTTCCTTGTTTTTATCCTACAGTGTTACCTGATATGGTTCTGTGTCACTGTTTGGCTCCAGCTTCCTCGTGTTTATCCTACAGTGTTGCCTGATATGGTTCTGTGTCACTGTTTGGCTCCAGCTTCCTCGTGTTTATCCTACAGTGTTACCTGATATGGTTCTGTGTCACTGTTTGGCTCCAGCTTCCTCGTGTATATCCTACAGTGTTGCCTGATATGGTTCTGTGTCACTGTTTGGCTCCAGCTTCCTTGTGTTTATCCTACAGTGTTGCCTGATATGGTTCTGTGTCACTGTTTTTGCTCCAGCTTCCTCGTGTATATCCTACAGTGTTGCCTGATATGGTTCTGTGTCACTGTTTGGCTCCAGCTTCCTTGTGTTTATCCTACAGTGTTGCCTGATATGGTTCTGTGTCACTGTTTGGCTCCAGCTTCCTCGTGTTTATCCTACAGTGTTACCTGATATGGTTCTGTGTCACTGTTTGGCTCCAGCTTCCTTGTGTTTATCCTACAGTGTTACCTGATATAGTTCTGTGTCACTGTTTGGCTCCAGCTTCCTCGTGTATATCCTACAGTGTTGCCTGATATGGTTCTGTGTCACTGTTTGGCTCCAGCTTCCTTGTGTTTATCCTACAGTGTTGCCTGATATGGTTCTGTGTCACTGTTTGGCTCCAGCTTCCTTGTGTTTATCCTACAGTGTTACCTGATATGGTTCTGTGTCACTGTTTGACTCCAGCTTCCTTGTGTTTATCCTACAGTGTTGCCTGATATGGTTCTGTGTCACTGTTTGGCTCCAGCTTCCTTGTGTTTATCCTACAGTGTTGCCTGATATGGTTCTGTGTCACTGTTTGGCTCCAGCTTCCTTGTGTTTATCCTACAGTGTTACCTGATATGGTTCTGTGTCACTGTTTGACTCCAGCTTCCTTGTGTTTATCCTACAGTGTTGCCTGATATGGTTTTGTGTCACTGTTTGGCTCCAGCTTCCTTGTGTTTATCCTACTGTTGTTGCCTTTAAAGACTAGGGATTTGCGGCCCACCTTCCATCAGTGGGATGAATGCATAATGTTATATAGGATAAGTTTAAAAATTTGTAAATTTGTAAATTTTGAATAACTTGTATATTTATGATACCTAATATCCTGTCTCACATGCTGTATGCCCACCCATTAATCCAGGCATCACAACTCTTCTTGCCTATTAGCTCTAGAAAGAGAATGTGTTGGCTGAGGAAAGCACCTGTTCAACGCGTGTTGCTCGACCGACATGAAAAACGTGCATGACTCAGATTGTTGGGAGTTGACCACGGTGATGCTATGTGTGTTTGGTTGAATTGTTTTTTAGTGGCTGGAAACATTTCTTTAGGCACATTTCCACTTTATAAAAAATGGGCCATGTATAGTGTGAGATAGAATAAGTATTATTAATATACAATTTGTTGTACATTTTACACTTTTAGAGTTAGCATTGCTGTCAACATGATCAAATGAAATGTTTTTCAATTGAAAATGCTACTGCTTATTCACTTCATTGGAAGGTGTAGAAATAATTTAAAGAATCATTAGGTTTAGTATCAAACATAATATCACTTGTACTATGACATACTTTTTGTGATTTTTATGCACATATTTAAAAGTCCAGGGTAACTATAACTTTATCTGCTTGGTAACATAGCTAGAAGTAAAGGACTTTCAGTTTAAAAGTTGTACTGCATTGGGCATTTGTTTTTCCAACTGGAAGTCGTCCAAACTTTGTTATCAAGAGAGGTGGAGGTATTAGTCATTCTGTTTCAAAATTGTAATGCACGGGTGTGATGTCATTGAACTTGGATTGGGCTGTTTCAATTTTTGCATGTAATGCAAAACCTTTCTAGTTATTTTTTACATTTATTTCTAGGACAGCAAGGGTCAGTGTTGTGTCTGTCTGTGTACACCTTCGAATGGAGCTGCAGATGAACTGATGAGGAGACTCGTAGCTCTACGTAGTGGTGAGTACATGTAGGTGCAGTCTGTACACCTTCGAATGGAGCTGCAGATAAAATGATGAGGAGACTCGTAGCTCTACGTAGTGGTGAGAACATGTAGGTGCAGTCTGTACATCATCGAATGGAGCTGCAGATGAACTGATGAGGAGACTCGTAGCTCTACGTAGTGGTGAGTACATGTAGGTGCAGTCTGTACACCTTCGAACGGAGCTGCAGATGAACTGATGAGGAGACTCGTAGCTCTACGTAGTGGTGAGTACATGTAGGTGCAGTCTGTACACCTTCGAACGGAGCTGCAGATGAACTGATGAGGAGACTCGTAGCTCTACGTAGCGGTGAGTACGTGTAAGTGCAGTCTGTACACCTTCGAATGGAGCTGCAGATGAACTGATGAGGAGACTTGTAGCTCTACATAGTGGTGAGTACATGTAGGTGCAGTCTGTACACCTTCGAACGGAGCTGCAGATGAACTGATGAGGAGACTCGTAGCTCTACATAGTGGTGAGAACATGTAGGTGCAGTCTGTACACCTTCGAACGGAGCTGCAGATGAACTGATGAGGAGACACATAGCTCTACGTAGTGGTGAGTACATGTAGGTGCAGTCTGTACATCATCGAACGGAGCTGCAGATGAACTGATGAGGAGACTCGTAGCTCTACGTAGTGGTGAATACATGTTGGTTGTGTCTGTACACCTTCGAACGGAGCTGCAGATGAACTGATGAGGAGACTCGTAGCTCTACGTAGTGGTGAGTACATGTAGGTGCAGTCTGTACACCTTTGAATGGAGCTGCAGATGAACTGATGAGGAGACTCGTAGCTCTACATAGTGGTGAGTACATGTAGGTGCAGTCTGTACACCTTTGAATGGAGCTGCAGATGAACTGATGAGGAGACTCGTAGCTCTACGTAGTGGTGAGTACATGTAGGTGCAGTCTGTACACCTTCGAACGGAGCTGCAGATGAACTGATGAGGAGACTCGTAGCTCTACGTAGTGGTGAGTACATGTAGGTGCAGTCTGTACACCTTCGAACGGAGCTGCAGATGAACTGATGAGGAGACTCGTAGCTCTACGTAGCGGTGAGTACGTGTAAGTGCAGTCTGTACACCTTCGAATGGAGCTGCAGATGAACTGATGAGGAGACTTGTAGCTCTACATAGTGGTGAGTACATGTAGGTGCAGTCTGTACACCTTCGAACGGAGCTGCAGATGAACTGATGAGGAGACTCGTAGCTCTACATAGTGGTGAGAACATGTAGGTGCAGTCTGTACACCTTCGAACGGAGCTGCAGATGAACTGATGAGGAGACACATAGCTCTACGTAGTGGTGAGTACATGTAGGTGCAGTCTGTACATCATCGAACGGAGCTGCAGATGAACTGATGAGGAGACTCGTAGCTCTACGTAGTGGTGAATACATGTTGGTTGTGTCTGTACACCTTCGAACGGAGCTGCAGATGAACTGATGAGGAGACTCGTAGCTCTACGTAGTGGTGAGTACATGTAGGTGCAGTCTGTACACCTTTGAATGGAGCTGCAGATGAACTGATGAGGAGACTCGTAGCTCTACATAGTGGTGAGTACATGTAGGTGCAGTCTGTACACCTTTGAATGGAGCTGCAGATGAACTGATGAGGAGACTCGTAGCTCTACGTAGTGGTGAGTACATGTAGGTGCAGTCTGTACACCTTCGAACGGAGCTGCAGATGAACTGATGAGGAGACTCGTAGCTCTACGTAGCGGTGAGTACGTGTAAGTGCAGTCTGTACACCTTCGAATGGAGCTGCAGATGAACTGATGAGGAGACTCGTAGCTCTACGTAGTGGTGAGTACATGTAGGTGCAGTCTGTACACCTTCGAACGGAGCTGCAGATGAACTGATGAGGAGACTCGTAGCTCTACGTAGCGGTGAGTACGTGTAAGTGCAGTCTGTACACCTTCGAACGGAGCTGCAGATGAACTGATGAGGAGACTCGTAGCTCTACGTAGTGGTGAGTACATGTAGGTGCAGTCTGTACATCATCGAACGGAGCTGCAGATGAACTGATGAGGAGACTCGTAGCTCTACGTAGTGGTGAATACATGTTGGTTGTGTCTGTACACCTTCGAATGGAGCTGCAGATGAACTGATGAGGAGACTCGTAGCTCTACGTAGTGGTGAGAACATGTAGGTGCAGTCTGTACACCTTTGAATGGAGCTGCAGATGAACTGATGAGGAGACTCGTAGCTCTACGTAGTGGTGAGAACATGTAGGTGCAGTCTGTACACCTTTGAATGGAGCTGCAGATGAACTGATGAGGAGACTCGTAGCTCTACGTAGCGGTGAGTACGTGTAAGTGCAGTCTGTACACCTTCGAACGGAGCTGCAGATGAACTGATGAGGAGACTCGTAGCTCTACGTAGTGGTGAGTACATGTAGGTGCAGTCTGTACATCATCGAACGGAGCTGCAGATGAACTGATGAGGAGACTCGTAGCTCTACGTAGTGGTGAATACATGTTGGTTGTGTCTGTACACCTTCGAATGGAGCTGCAGATGAACTGATGAGGAGACTCGTAGCTCTACGTAGTGGTGAGTACATGTAGGTGCAGTCTGTACACCTTTGAATGGAGCTGCAGATGAACTGATGAGGAGACTCGTAGCTCTACGTAGTGGTGAGAACATGTAGGTGCAGTCTGTACACCTTTGAATGGAGCTGCAGATGAACTGATGAGGAGACTCGTAGCTCTACGTAGTGGTGAGTACATGTAGGTGCAGTCTGTACATCATCGAACGGAGCTGCAGATGAACTGATGAGGAGACTCGTAGCTCTACGTAGTGGTGAATACATGTTGGTTGTGTCTGTACACCTTCGAATGGAGCTGCAGATGAACTGATGAGGAGACTCGTAGCTCTACGTAGTGGTGAGAACATGTAGGTGCAGTCTGTACACCTTTGAATGGAGCTGCAGATGAACTGATGAGGAGACTCGTAGCTCTACGTAGTGGTGAGAACATGTAGGTGCAGTCTGTACACCTTTGAATGGAGCTGCAGATGAACTGATGAGGAGACTCGTAGCTCTACGTAGTGGTGAGTACATGTAGGTGCAGTCTGTACATCATCGAACGGAGCTGCAGATGAACTGATGAGGAGACTCGTAGCTCTACGTAGTGGTGAATACATGTTGGTTGTGTCTGTACACCTTCGAATGGAGCTGCAGATGAACTGATGAGGAGACTCGTAGCTCTACGTAGTGGTGAGAACATGTAGGTGCAGTCTGTACACCTTTGAATGGAGCTGCAGATGAACTGATGAGGAGACTCGTAGCTCTACGTAGTGGTGAGAACATGTAGGTGCAGTCTGTACACCTTTGAATGGAGCTGCAGATGAACTGATGAGGAGACTCGTAGCTCTACGTAGCGGTGAGTACGTGTAAGTGCAGTCTGTACACCTTCGAACGGAGCTGCAGATGAACTGATGAGGAGACTCGTAGCTCTACGTAGTGGTGAGTACATGTAGGTGCAGTCTGTACATCATCGAACGGAGCTGCAGATGAACTGATGAGGAGACTCGTAGCTCTACGTAGTGGTGAATACATGTTGGTTGTGTCTGTACACCTTCGAATGGAGCTGCAGATGAACTGATGAGGAGACTCGTAGCTCTACGTAGTGGTGAGTACATGTAGGTGCAGTCTGTACACCTTTGAATGGAGCTGCAGATGAACTGATGAGGAGACTCGTAGCTCTACGTAGTGGTGAGAACATGTAGGTGCAGTCTGTACACCTTTGAATGGAGCTGCAGATGAACTGATGAGGAGACTCGTAGCTCTACGTAGTGGTGAGTACATGTAGGTGCAGTCTGTACACCTTTGAATGGAGCTGCAGATGAACTGATGAGGAGACTCGTAGCTCTACATAGTGGTGAGTACATGTAAGTGCAGTCTGTACACCTTTGAATGGAGCTGCAGATGAACTGATGAGGAGACTCGTAGCTCTACATAGTGGTGAATACATGTTGGTTGTGTCTGTACACCTTTGAATGGAGCTGCAGATGAACTGATGAGGAGACTTGTAGCTCATCAATCAGCTGCCGATGAAGGTAGTGAAGTGTCTGTGATAACCCCTTTTTTTTAATCATACATTCCATGTGTGTTTGAAGGTGGAGGCCAGTGTGCATCAATGAGACTGGTGCGGTTTGGAAAGGTGAACAGTATCCATTCTGATGTCCAGGAGTATTCTTATGATGAGCTGGTCAACACAGAGCGAGCTAAAGGTACCAGGCTTATTAGTATCTCTACACAGGACACTAAAGGGTTAAGGTGGCATGTACAAGGACAAATATCGGAACAGGGAAGTTTTCTCCAAGTATTATCAATATGTGGAGTTACAGTCAGTGCTGGAAGTAAAGAATTCCAGTTTGCCTTTAAGAAGATGCAGAGATTTGCTTTTCATATGTACAGTAATGTTACTTCACATCTGTATGCAACACAACTGGCAACGAAAAGATTCACCTATAACAAAACCAAATGTCTCTTACAGCCCCCAGTTCATCTTGGTTTACCAATCGCCTGTATTACCATATTAGTATATTTCAGTATGAAGGCCACAGGCCCATGTACACTATACATGCATGGAATTAATATGGCATGGTGGTACAAAAACAATTGGTTAATTGTAATGTAAATTGCAATTACGATTCTAGTAGTCAAGAGCATAAAATCATGGCATGTTTGATATATTTTCCACATAAACACAAGAGATGAAGACAAGGTTTCAGTATTTGTAACTGGAGTGAATAACTCATACTTTACATTAAAAACAAAAGATTTACAAAAGAAAAGAAATTTAATTTTCCAGCAGCTCCCTTCTTCCAATATTTTCATGAGTTTGTGATACTCCTAAGAATGTTAAAGATCTTCTTTGATCCTTTTGTCTTAGTAGTTAAAAACAAATCTACCTTCAGTGGCCAGTGTGCTTAGAAGAAATGTGATTGACTGTAAGAGTCTTTTTCTCTGTGAAAATTATGAAAGGAACAAATCAGAGTCTCTGACAACTTGTTTATCCCACACATGATTAAAACCATATGAGTTATGTAATCTCTTTATATCTGAAGCCAATGTAGTTCTGACACATGTGTCAGATTCACATATTGTGAAAGATTCACTATAAATATCATAATGACCACCTTCACATGATACAGACTGGCCTCACCAAAATCTTGTATGGAATGTTCCAAAACATCCCATTTATACCAACCCCATAATTCCCTTGAATACAAAACCTCTATTACATCATAGCTATACATTCAGCATTTTGGCTGTCCTCACCATAAAATCTCAAAACTTTAAACTGATATTTTCAACTATTTCTAATATTCTTGAGATAGTAAGAAAACGTGCAATTCTATGAATAACAACTTCTGGTTCATTGCATATAGCGACGTTTTGATGTAGATTGTTACCCGGTAATCAAGTTGAAGTGATAACAGCTTGATAACAGTGTAAGAATCTACATCAAAATGTCACGTAGTGCAGTTAACTGGCAGATGTTATCCATAAGGTTGTACGTTTTCTTTCTTATTCATCAACTTCTAGAATGCCAATCAAACAGTTAGTGTTGAGGGAGATAGTATTTATGCATTGAGCACAGGCTAGGCCGCTAACATGGACGGATCCAAGGAGAATGGTCACAGGAAGACAAGGCTCTTCACATCAACTGTCCACAGGCAGGGAGGGACGAGGTCAGAGAATTTACTGAAGGAGGTTACAATTTTGTTCAGATCGGCAGATTGGATCAACTGCAGAGTGGAAAGTCGCCACATACCGGGGAAATTCCTGGAGGAACAAGATGATTTTGACAGAATGGTCCCTTCACCCAGATGTGTTCAAATGGATTACAATGACTTGGGACACACATCCTGACCTTTATACATCAGCCCGGTACCAGACCCTCAAGTTCTCTGCGGACGTTTTATTCTAGAACTGGAAGGGACTATTCACTTACGCATTCCCTCCTTGGTCTGTCCTTGGTCTCACCTACACAGAGTAATGAAGAAGGTGGAGGAGACTGACTGCGTCATCATTCAGATAGCTCTGGCTAGGTCCAACAGAGCATGGAACCCAAGACTATTCCCACTTCTAATGGCATGACCTCTCAAACTGTTGGAATGGCCTCTATTACCTCCACCTACATGCCTGGAAACTATCAGATGGAAAAGGCAGGCTTCCAGAATTTCCAAGTCTGCTTCTGCAACAGTGGTACGATCTTGGAGACCTTCTTTTTCAGCCATATATATTAGATGATGGAAGTTCTGCCAATGGCAGAGAGCAGAACGATTGGGATAATAACCATTGCCACAACAGAAGAAGGAATTCCAGCTTGGCACTGTTTAGGACTACAGGTCAGCCATAACATCTGTTCCCCAACATGACAGGGTCTCAGCTCAGTAGGTTCTCACCCAGTACTTATTCGTCTTATGAGAGCTTTTCAACAAGAAGACAATAAAGTTTGTTTCCTGAATGGAATCTATCTGTTGTTCTATCAGCCCTTTAGAACCACCTAATGAGTGTCAGAGTTACATGCCATTGATTTTTCCACACTCACTCACAATCAGGATTACTGTGTCCAGAAAGAGCTTTCAAGTTCCACCTTACAGCCACTGAAGGTCATAGAAAGTGCAGGAGATGACTGATCTTATCCTGAAAGCCTTTGTCAGATAGGGACATCACTAAGGCTACAGTAGCAGCACAGTTATCAACAAGCTCAACTATCAATTCCCACTCACAGTAACTGCAGATCCGAGCCTTAGCTACAAACTTGGTTTCTTGGAACTCAGTATCCATAGAGCAGGTCGTATCAAGCTGTCAATGGAGTTCACGTTAATACCTTCACAAACTTCTACTTACATGATATCCAAGCAGATCTGGAACCAGCTTGTGGCACCCGAGGCTGTAGTGTGTCAGTAGCTCCTACCCCTTTTCTCCGGAGAAACGGGGAGGTTAGGGGAGTCTGGGATTTCAGCAGACTACAATATAAACCTTATGAGGTAAGTTAGCCTTTTTGGTCATATGTGAACCAGGGTAGGCAGACCATAGGTTAACAGCTGGACTCACATTATTACATGTGGCAATGATCTACGGCTAGATGGTATTGGCACCAGTATGGAATGTCGTCAAGCTAACTATGTCCACAGAGAACCGGAGGTGACACCAGGGCAGGAAATGATGTCTTCAGAACAGGAAATGGCATCATCAAGAGTGTAAGTGATGTCATCTAAGCTGGAAATGACATCAGTTTGTACAGGTAGTGAAGCTACAGCAATGCCAATATCATGGTTTTCAAGAGAAATATCAGGTCTTGTGCATTTACTTGTCACTTTCTTCATGTACTATCTGTCACTGCTGTCAGCTAACTGGGATGACTAGATTCCAGGTCTCACCTTTCCCACTGATGTATTCTTGCTATGATGTAATTGAGGTAGTGTATTCAAAGGAATTGTCAAAACAATAGTTATCATTGTGTATAATTCTGAGGATACTATCTCTATTATGTCAAGAATTAGTCCCTCCAACCTCATGCAGGATGTTTGGTTATTTGAAAGGAGTGACGTTTTCCCACCTTGCACGTATGCAGATGATCTATTAGATAGCTGGCCGAGAAGAGTGGCGACAGTTGAAAATCTTAAGATTTTATATGGTGAGGACAGCCAAAATGGAGGATTTATGGCCATGATGTAATAGAGGTAGTATTCTTAGAATGCTACACAATGATAAATATTGTTTGATATCTCAAGAGTAATATACAATAGAATAGGTTTATTTGAGAATCAAACATTTTGAAGACAATTGTGGGTGCAAGACTTTTCAGATTCAACTGCAACTGTTTCATGGGAAGAAGTGCCCCATTTTGTACAGAATTTTGATAAAGCATCTATTTTCTTTTGTAAGCTAATAACAGATAAAAAGAAAAAGTCCTCAGCATATAAAAATGAGCTTGATAAGAAAATTTTTAAAAATTGGCAACTACAAATTACCTCGTCCACCATATAAGCATAATTCTTCTTGAAGTTGGCTGATAAGCATACTAAATAGAAATGGACCTTATATACAATTGATGACAGCCATTTGGACATATAAAAATATTCTGAAATATTAACCCTGGATAGTTTTACAGCGGCTGTTTTACTGTATATGTCAAATAATATTCATCAATGTGTGATATTGTAGTGTTATCTTGGTTTCCTTCAGAGGAGAAACGTAAAAGAGACAACAACTCATCTCTGCCAGACAGTGTCCGTCAGGAGCAACATCAACTTCGAAAACGGATTGAGAAAATTCAGAAGGAGCTTGATGACATCAGTAGATCAGGAAACAAAATACAGGTACAGGCTAGGTTTTAAGCAGCAGGACCTTGTTAGGTCAGGAAACAAAATACAGGTACAGGCTAGGTGTGTCAGCAGCAGGACCTTGGTAGATCAGGAAACAAAATACAGGTACAGGCTAGGTGTGTCAGCAGCAGGACCTTGGTAGATCTGGGAACTACGGCTACAGGCTAGGCGTGTTAGCAGCAGGACCTTTGTAAGTCAGGGAACTACAGATAAAGGCTAGGTGTGTTAGCAGCAGGACCTTGGTAGATCAGGGAACTACGGCTACAGGCTAGGTGTGTTAGCAGCAGGACCTTGGTAGATCAGGGAACTACGGCTACAGGCTAGGTGTGTTAGCAGCAGGACCTTCGTAGATCTGGGAACTACGGCTACAGGCTAGGTGTGTTAGCAGCAGGACCTTGGTAGATCAGGAAACAAAATACAGGTACAGGCTAGGTGTGTCAGCAGCAGGACCTTGGTAGATCAGGAAACAAAATACAGGTACAGGCTAGGTGTGTCAGCAGCAGGACCTTCGTAGATCTGGGAACTACGGCTACAGGCTAGGTGTGTCAGCAGCAGGACCTTGGTAGATCAGGAAACAAAATACAGGTACAGGCTAGGTGTGTCAGCAGCAGGACCTTGGTAGATCTGGGAACTACGGCTACAGGCTAGGCGTGTTAGCAGCAGGACCTTTGTAAGTCAGGGAACTACAGATAAAGGCTAGGTGTGTTAGCAGCAGGACCTTGGTAGATCAGGGAACTACGGCTACAGGCTAGGTGTGTTAGCAGCAGGACCTTGGTAGATCAGGGAACTACGGCTACAGGCTAGGTGTGTTAGCAGCAGGACCTTCGTAGATCTGGGAACTACGGCTACAGGCTAGGTGTGTTAGCAGCAGGACCTTGGTAGGTCAGGAAATTACAGCTACAGGCTAGGGGTGTTAGCAGCAGGACCTTGGTTGATCAGGGAACTACGGCTACAGGCTAGGTGTGTTAGCAGCAGGACCTTCGTAGATCTGGGAACTACGGCTACAGGCTAGGTGTGTTAGCAGCAGGACCTTGGTAGGTCAGGAAATTACAGCTACAGGCTAGGGGTGTTAGCAGCAGGACCTTGGTAGATCAGGGAACTACGGCTACAGGCTAGGTGTGTTAGCAGCAGGACCTTGGTAGATCAGGGAACCATATCTACAGGCTAGGTGTGTTAGCAGCAGGACCTTGGTAGGTCAGGAAACTACAGCTACAGGCTAGGTGTGTTAGCAGCAGGACCTTGGTTGATCAGGGAACTGCAGCTACAGGCTAGGTGTGTTAGCAGCAGGACCTTGGTAGGTCAGGCAACTACATCTACAGGCTAGGTGTGTTAGCAGCAGGACCTTTGTAAGTCAGGCAACTACATCTACAGGCTAGGTGTGTTAGCAGCAGGACCTTGGCAGGTCAGGGAACTACATCTACAGGCTAGGTGTGTTAGCAGCAAAACCTTGGTAGATCAGGAAACTACAACTACAGGCTAGGTGTGTTAGCAGCAGGACCTTGGTAGGTCAGGGAACTACATCTACAGGCTAGGTGTGTTAACAGCAGGACCTTGGTAGATCAGGAAACTACAGCTACAGGCTAGGTGTGTTAGCAGCAGGACCTTGGTAGATCAGGAAACTACAGCTACAGGCTAGGTGTGTTAGCAGCAGGACCTTGGTAGATCAGGAAACAAAATACAGGTACAGGCTAGGTGTGTCAGCAGCAGGACCTTGGTAGGTCAGGGAACTACAGCTACAGGCTAGGTGTGTTAGCAGCAGGACCTTGGTAGATCAGGGAACTACAGCTACAGGCTAGGTGTGTAAGCAGCAGAACCTTGGTAGTTCAGGCAACCATACTACAGGCTAGGTGTGTTAGCAGCAGAACCTTGGTAGGTCAGGCAACTACATCTACAGGCTAGGTGTGTTAGCAGCAGGACCTTTGTAAGTCAGGCAACTACATCTACAGGCTAGGTGTGTTAGCAGCAGGACCTTTGTAAGTCAGGCAACTACATCTACAGGCTAGGTGTGTTAGCAGCAGGACCTTTGTAAGTCAGGCAACTACATCTACAGGCTAGGTGTGTTAGCAGCAGGACCTTTGTAAGTCAGGCAACTACATCTACAGGCTAGGTGTGTTAGCAGCAGGACCTTGGTAGGTCAGGGAACTACATCTACAGGCTAGGTGTGTTAGCAGCAGGACCTTGGTAGGTCAGGCAACTACATCTACAGGCTAGGTGTGTTAGCAGCAGAACCTTTGTAAGTCAGGCAACTACATCTACAGGCTAGGTGTGTTAGCAGCAGGACCTTGGTAGATCAGGGAACTACAGCTACAGGCTAGGTGTGTTAGCAGCAGGACCTTGGTAGATCAGGGAACTACATCTACAGGCTAGGTGTGTTAGCAGCAGGACCTTGGTAGATCAGGGAATTACATCTACAGGCTAGGTGTGTTAGCAGCAGGACCTTGGTAGATCAGGAAACTACAGCTACAGGCTAGGTGTGTTAGCAGCAGGACCTTTGTAAGTCAGGGAACTACATTTACAGGCTAGGTGTGTTAGCAGCAGGACCTTGGTAGATCAGGAAACTACAGCTACAGGCTAGGTGTGTTAGCAGCAGAACCTTGGTAAATCAGGGAACTACAGCTACAGGCTAGGTGTGTAAGCAGCAGGACCTTGGTTGATCAGGGAACTACAGCTACAGGCTAGGTGTGTTAGCAGCAGAACCTTGGTAGATCAGGCAACTACAGCTACAGGCTAGGTGTGTTAGCAGCAGAACCTTGGTAGATCAGGGAACTACAGTTACAGGCTAGGTGTGTTAGCAGCAGGACCTTGGTAGATCAGGGAACTACATCTACAGGCTAGGTGTGTTAGCAGCAGGACCTTGGTAGATCAGGGAACTACAACTACAGGCTAGGTGTGTTAGCAGCAGGTCCTTGGTAGATCAGGGAACTACATCTACAGGCTAGGTGTGTTAGCAGCAGAACCTTGGTAGATCAGGGAACTACAGCTACAGGCTAGGTGTGTTAGCAGCAGGACCTTGGTAGGTCAGGAAACTACAGCTACAGGCTAGGTGTGTTAGCAGCAGGACCTTGGTAGGTCAGGTAACTACATCTACAGGCTAGGTGTGTTAGCAGCAGGACCTTGGTAGGTCAGGAAACTACAGTTACAGGCTAGGTGTGTTAGCAGCAGGACCTTGGTAGGTCAGGCAACTACATCTACAGGCTAGGTGTGTTAGCAGCAGAACCTTGGTAGATCAGGAAACTACAGTTACAGGCTAGGTGTGTTAGCAGCAGGACCTTTGTAAGTCAGGCAACTACATCTACAGGCTAGGTGTGTTAGCAGCAGAACCTTGGTAGATCAGGAAACTACAGTTACAGGCTAGGTGTGTTAGCAGCAGGACCTTTGTAAGTCAGGCAACTACATCTACAGGCTAGGTGTGTTAGCAGCAGGACCTTGGTATGTCAGGGAACTACATCTACAGGCTAGGTGTATTAGCAGCAGAACTGGACATTCTTAATACAAAGATTGAACAGGTTGAGGGGCCTTCAGATTCAGTTCTTTACATCGGAGGATGGCTGCATCAACATCCACGTTATGAAATCTGATCATATATTTCAATGTTTCTGCTACAAGTACATCATTTTAAGAAGATGTATTTTGAAACGTGTTTGTATATGACAGAATATGTTTATTCAACAACAAAAACTGCAGACACTATTTCCTTATTGAAATAATGTTTGTATATCAGCACATGCATGTTTTGTGCACATGTGGTCTGTGATGTGTTTTCACATTGAAGGATCCACTGGTTGTGGATTGTAATTCAGTAGCTGCTCCAGGTCTGAGCCTTGGTCTGTCAGAACAGTAATCATGCTGGTGGCAATCACCAACGTGCCACAAGTCTACAGCTGGCGGAGGCACTTGGTGCTTCCTCCCAACAGCTGTCATACCATGTCAAGACTTTCAGTCAGTTACAACCCCTCAGTATCACTGATGTTACTGAAATGATATGAAGATGAAATCTATAATGCCTCGATTAAAAGTGTGTTGTTTTACAGATTGACAGAAGACAGGCAGACCTCAGGAAGTTTGAAAAAGAACTAAAATATTTGGACAACCAGCAGAGTGGACCCGCTCATCATGTAGGTTGAACACTGATCTCCAGAACTGTAGTCAGTATTTCATACTTTGTTAGTTGTGTTCTTGGAATGTCTACTTGAGCTATTCATGTATTTTACAAAACAGGGAGTTACAGTTTGCTTCCTATCTCCCATATTCCTAACATAGAGTGACAACCGTTTGCATGGATGCACTCTTGAATCAGGGGTCACCAGTTACAGAGTTATCTGCCTTCACTCATCCTCCTGCCTCACATCACCTCACTGAAGGCAATACTCCCAACTATCCTCATGTTGGCTCTTTATAGCTGCTGTTTCATGTTGGGATTATATGTACTTGTCCCTGTGTTGTCCCAAAAATGTTGGTGCTCCTTTTTGGGTTGTTTTGAATCATAATTTTTCTAAGTTATTCACATTTGTAAATTTGATAAGCCATGCCCACTCCTTCATCAGCGTTAGAAATTGGCATTAGTCCTATAGTCCTAGCCAAACTGCCCAATGGTAAAGGTATCATTAGGACTAATAGAAATTTGACATTTTAAGGGTTTTGCTATATGTTATCATGATAAGAAATAGTGGACGAAAACTGTTTGTTTCAAACGCTGTCCTGCACTGTTCACTATTGCTGTTTACAATCATGTACCGGCATATACTGTTAACTGTTGCTGTTTACAATCATGTACGAGCATGCACTGTTCACTGTTGCTGTTTACAATCATGTACGAGCATGCACTGTTCACTGTTGCTGTTTACAATCATGTACCGGCATATACTGTTAACTGTTGCTGTTTACAATTATGTACCGGCAATGCACTGTTCACTGTTGCTGTTTACAATCATGTACGAGCATGCACTGTTCACTGTTGCTGTTTACAATCATGTACCGGCATATACTGTTAACTGTTGCTGTTTACAATTATGTACCGGCAATGCACTGTTCACTGTTGCTGATTACAATCATGTACAAGCATGCACTGTTCACTGTTGCTGTTTACAATCATGTACGGGTAATGCACTGTTCACTGTTGCTGTTTACAATCATGTACGAGCATGCACTGTTCACTGTTGCTGTTTACAATCATGTACGGGTAATGCACTGTTCACTGTTGCTTTTACAATCATGTACGGGCATATACTGTTCACTATTGCTGTTTACAATTATGTATGGGCAATGCACTGGTCACTGTTGCTGTTTACAATCATGTACGAGCATGCACTGTTCACTGTTGCTGTTTACAATCATGTACGGGTAATGCACTGTTCACTATTGCTGTTTACAATCATGTACGGGCATATACTGTTCACTATTGCTGTTTACAATTATGTATGGGCAATGCACTGGTCACTGTTGCTGTTTACAATCATGTACGAGCATGCGCTGTTCACTGTTGCTGTTTACAATTATGTACCGGCAATGCACTGTTCACTGTTGCTGTTTACAATCATGTACGAGCATGCACTGTTCACTGTTGCTGTTTACAATCTTGTACGAGCATGCACTGTTCACTGTTGCTGTTTACAATCATGTACGGGTAATGCACTGTTCACTGTTGCTTTTACAATCATGTACGGGCATATACTGTTCACTGTTGCTATTTACAATCATGTACGGGCAATGCACTGTTCACTGTTGCTATTTACAATCATGTACGAGCATGCACTGTTCACTGTTGCTGTTTACAATCATGTACGGGCATGCACTGTGTATTACGTCATTCCTCGTGCACCCACCGCCTGACGTCACTCATTTAACTCTAAGCGAGGATTCATACATCCCTGAATTACACATACATTTCGGCATCAACTTACAAATTGTCTTTGTCACAAATATAAATGGTCTGGATGTAAACAAGCAAAATAAATCTGGTTTGAAAACGAATGCTGGTGTCATAGAGGAAAACTGATTTTCTGTACAGTCGTGCCTCGTTTATACGGACACTTGCGTCATTTCACAATTCGTCCGTATAAACGAATTTCCGTATAACTGAAACCAGCTTCTTACTGGAAGAGTTACTTCCCTTCAATTATGCAACTCATGACAGATGACAGAGCAAACAGATACATCCACTCAGTCTTTATTCATACAGGTTTCAAAAAATCTGTCATGGAACTTTGAACTGGCACCAATTGTCGATTTTCCAATGGTATGTCCAAATTCAGTACCATAATGCTTACTGATGGTTTCTAAACTTGCTGACGGGTGTTTTTCTTTAAACAGACAAATTTCCCTTTCTTTCGCGTGCTGTAACTGCGTGTCGCTTACGTTTCGCTGGTTGACAGGCCATACTTACACAACTTTGACCTCTGACCTCCACAGACGCTATATTTATCGAAGGGGATTACATGTACAATAAACAAGCTTGTCTCAAACGTAACTCAGTGTCACTTGGTTAATTGACTTCTCACAAATCAAGCGGAAGGATTACCACCAGCGGAAGTGTATTGTCCGAATGAGTGAGACAATTTTGTGTGCATTTCAGTGTTTTGTGTATGAAAATGACTGTCCGGTTCCGGAAACTGAATTTCCGGATATACGGGTAAATTTATATAGTAATTATTTCGTTTTGAATGAAAATCGTCCGGGAAAGCAGGGCATGACTGTATTTATGGCAAGCTTTTTTTTCCTAACTACTGTGTAACGTTATACATATGCATACAAATACATTTGATATATATTTTTTACGTTCAGATATTAGGCAGCATTTTGTTCACACACAATTTCTGTCAAAGCTGTTAAATAAAACAAATACTCACACAACGTTCACTTTTCAGATGTTATGAAAATGTGCATCTGAAACAAAACTCGGCATCATAGCACCCTCGTGTTGCACCAAGCATGAACAGCTATTGGATCATTGTAGATTAATCCTAGTTTAGTGTTAAATGAGTGTTTATTGAAGGTTGTATACAAAATTAGGCAGATGTCCAATTTACACAGTATACTGTATTTATGAAAAGGCCCTTGACCGGTGACGATGCTTAAACGCAACATGTATATACAGAGTGTGTACATTATTATCTATGTGTGTGTAACATCAGACAGTGAGTGCACGAGGAATGACGTAATACATTGTACACCTCAGGATGCAGTTATCATATACACAGTGGAACAAGCTGATTAAACTCGTAATGTTTTACAAATTGCAGCACCATCTGGCGTTCTTTATTGTAAACGTCCTTTCGTGTTCACTGACGTTCTTTCGTTCACATTGTTCTTTCTTTTCTTATGACGTCTTTTCGTAACATTTGACTATTAATATTGCGTACTTTTGACCTTTTTTTCAACTTTGTATTTGGTTAACCGGCATCTGTTTGTTTTGTATTTTGACCTTTATTTGTAACATTTAGTTCTTTATTCGTAATATTTGATCTTTATTGCGTATTTTTGTCCTTTTGTTCCACGTTGTATTTTTTGACCGAATGGCCGCCCATACACCTCTCCTTGTGACAGATACCTTTTTGGCCATACTGTACTGCCCCAGCAGATGCACCTCTTTATCAGTCTGAACATCACAAGGTACTGCCTCACCGGATGCCAGACCGTAAAGCTGTGGATCACGATGCTCTGGCATTTACGTGGGAGAATATAACATGTATACATATCCTCCCCAAGTCCTGTTGCCATGGACCCTGCAGAAGATTATATCCACAGCAACCCTCTAGTAGTGCCTTATTGGCCATGTTGTATGTGGTTTCCAGAGCTTGTCAATGTCGCCATAAACCCAGTACTAAATCTTACACTTAAAGCAGCCCTGCCCAGCACCCGATTCACTTGCTCTGCGCTTGTGGCTATTCTGCAAAGGGGACGGACGTCAGATGGTTTCTCCAGAAATGGCTCTATCGTTGGTCAACATTCATCATATTTCCACTTGTAGAAGTCTTTTGCTGCCTATGGCAGAAGGATGTTCGACCCCATGAGGCATTGATGCTATGTGTGGCTGATTTACTCCTCTTCTTGCATGAGTCTAGGAATCTACATGGTGGTAGCAAGCCATCAACACCATCTTAGCAGCTTCCCAGTCTGACACAATATGTAAGGTTCTGCAGTGTCCCGGTATGATCAAGGGCTTCCGGCAGTTTGACATCCGGATGCTGAAGATCTCTTGCACTGTCAGGTTAGGGCATGGAAGGTCTATTTGACAGCAACGCAGCAGTTTCCACGTATCTGTACAGCTGAGGTGTCCCCACACGACTCAACCTTCACCAACACAACAATTGATGACTGTGATTTCAGGATGTGTTCACTCTGTGTTATTGATATCAGAGATAAGAAGCAAACTGCACACTGACATAGCACGCTAAGTATATACTGTAATGGAACAGACTGATCTCACAGTGGTGTTGATTCATTTTTGCGCATTAGATTATTCTAAAAGTTATGTTGTTTGTACAAAATTGTGATTTAAAATCAAATGAAGGTGGCGTTTGCTTCCAGAGCTTATCTCAGAATCATATAGTATGTATTTATGAAACTTTTTACTGATGAATTTTGTGTGTGATGTGCTGACAGTCTGTCCAACTGACTCATTCGGAGGAGACCAGAATACGGCAGCGAGTGCTGCAGGATGCCCACGTCATTTGTGGAACCCTCAGCAGCCTTGGCAGTGCACGCATCATGAACATACTTCGCACGAACAATCGCAGGAACCCCTTCCTTTGTGCCATCATTGATGAGGTAACAGACAGTTTCAGCTTCAATTGATTAAGGCTTGAGGTCTTAATGCATCAAGATTTGTTTGTAACCATACACAATTTGAATACTTTGATACGATATAATGGTGTAAATGTTTAGCTCACCTGACTGAAAGTCAAGTGAGCTTATGTCATGGGCTGCTTGCCCAGCGTCGGGAGGTTCCTCAGGAACAACTGTACCAATTAGGGTGATACTTCACGTGATTGTTCCAACTAACGAAGACATGAATCAGATGACAATATGGCCACCATGTCAGCTATATAAAAAAAATAAAAAATCGTGGCCTTTTCCTGGAAGTATTTACATTTTGATCTTGATTTGGCCTTTGCACTTTGACCATACTGAAAGTTGAAACTTCTTGTGGCTGCTCCTCAGCCATTCTCTATCCAACAGTAGTGAAACTTGGTATGTACCGGTATTTAGTTTGTAGTGGGGTTCCATTTTTTACCAGGTCACCTTTATTGAAAAAGCTACAATTCATTCTGATCAAATCTTTAGTTCTCAAAGGGCATTTTTACCAGAGTGAGGAAACTGAATTTTGTATGTACATTTCTCTGATGATGACATCATATTTTGTTCAAATCATTAGGATTTTGGGGGAAAATTATTATCCTTAGAAGGTATGTTAGGCTAAGAGTTGAAATTCTGAGTAAAATAATTATAACTGTTGTGTATTGCAAAAATGTTCTTAATAGTACATTCTTTCTTGCAGATTTGGAAACATTGTGGAAATCTAGTTTCCTTGTTTCCTATTTGTTAACACTTTTGGCCTCACTATTTACATTGATTTATGCAGTAAATGTTGAACGGCAATACTGACAGCTACTTTTTGTTATCTATAGTGGCTGTTCACTACATATCCAGGTGAGCTACAAAACACTATTTTGAATGGCAGTTCCATGCATGGTGGTTGTTGTTGTAGGCAACTCAGTCGACGGAGCTGGACTGTCTGATCCCGCTGCAGTATGGTGTGAGTAAGCTGGTGATGGTGGGTGACCCGGAGCAGCTGCCGCCCACTGTAATCTCCCAGGTACAACACCTCCACCACAGCCCCACTCCAAGCATCCTTAGTACTTAGGACGATACTAACTCCTATATCTAACACTGACTTAGCAGTCCTAGCTGTAAGATTGTTTTGTTGGACAGGGCCCTGGTGTAACCCTAATACAAAGCAGGTGACTCTAGGGATATGAACGATGACTGTTCAACTGTATGGATTGATCATCAGTGGTAATACATTCCGACTTCCAATACTGAAACAATGTTTATTCTAAAGCAATGACTGTTAGCGATCGAAAAAGTGTGAAACCCCGGTGAAACTATTCAGGAATTTGAAGTGTGTGTTAGTGATGGTAAGGGACCTCAAGACTAAGAATATGTTTTTGTGTAGCATCAACATGACAGGCAGATGAAAAGACCAGCTAATCAGGAATGTTCTCATTCTGCCTACTCCCCAAAATGCCTACATTCTTATGACAGGTTATGATCTGTTGATTGTTATTTCACGTTTGAATTGTTGAAGTGTCCCCTAATGAGAATGTGGAATAGCCCCACTGTGTTTCCAATGTGTTTCCACTGTGCCTTTATTGCAATGTGCTTTCATTATGGTGGCTGTAACTCACAAAATGGTTCACAAATGAGAAGTCTTACTTACTTAGTTTGGGTTTTAATGTGCGCTTTCTGCCATATTTCCTATTTTGTGCACGGGCCCGCCAGGCCATTTAGTGACGTGGTCGAGAAGGGTACGTCCAAAAGGTAAGGCAACCTGGAGGGGCTTTATGGTAACTTAATTAATTTGGGCGGAAATTTTGAATTTTGAAATATGCCATGCTAAAAAGGTGGGGGAACCAAAGGAGTTTGTGAGGTTGTGTGTTTTTATAGATTAATGGTTTATGTTATATTGGTAGCTTGTTTTTTGGGGGGAGAGCCCACTTAATGAGTCTTAGGGTTTTTTGGTGTTTTATAGTTTGGGCGCTGTGTAGGGCTGTTACTATCCCCATTTGGTTCGGCTGTGAAGATTGATTGATTTTTGGGGAGCCTAAAGGATAGTTTTGTTGATGTGGATGCCAATCCCGTGCATTTTGAGTCCTGGGCAAAGGGCCCGTCTGTGTATATGTGACACTAATTTGGCAATTTTTCATGTATGTATGCTCGTGTGGTAGATTTAGAGGTGTTTTGGTCGGTTTCTTTATTTAGTTTGGTGGAGAGAGATATGTCGATTTTGGGGGGTTTGTAGTTTGGGTATGAACGAGTTGCAGCTTTAGTAACGATAAGGTGTCACAAGTTTGTCAGTCAAAGAGTCTGGTGTAGTTTAACAAGAGACAACAGTGACTGCTCAATGGTCAATCTGTAGACAGGATCTTCTGTCAGCAGATTTGATGTTACCGATTGCAGTGATAAATTCATAGATATTTGGATGAATGTTTCCGTACCTCTTTGTTCAATCCTTTGTGAAAACATTCAAAGTGATTGTCCATCTTTGGGACTGTGTTGTACTGATTCCAAAAGCCCAGTCAATGTTATGTTGTCTGCAGTTCTGGCATCACCTTGACATGGTCTACAGTGAGTAATGGGGGAGCTGCAGCTCCAGGCATAGGAGCGGGTTGTCCTTGTATTCACAACATCATGCCATAGGGCGTGCGTATAATGGGAACAACTTCTGTAACTAGGACCATTCCCTGAACCGCACAGCTTCAACATGAGAGAGTTCTTCTACAGTGGTTGTCAGTGTAGTATATTGGAGGAGTGTGACGAGTGTGTTGTAGGTTCACCTCAGCTTACTTGGGATGTGGGGTACATGGGACTGCACTGTTGATCAGGTTTGTTGGTGACATGGAAGCTATTGTTGTCTCTTTCAACCAAACACCTTTCAGCCTGTGTGTGACTGATGTATTAACAGAAAGCCAAGGACATGAAGTTTGGGCTGTCCCTGTTTGAGAGACTGTACTCGTACTTCAAGTCAAAAGACCAGAATGTTGTTCTGATGCTGAAGACACAGTACCGCATGGATCCCGCCATTCTTAGCTTCCCCAACCTGTATGTGTACGACGGCCAGCTGAACACAGACAGGTAGGCCATGTACCTTCATATACACTGCCAGGCAGCAACACCTGGGGGTCCAGGTAAAGGTGCTCACTTCAATACTTATACTGCAATTGAATAGGTCCCATGTGTTACAGTGTACTAACTCTTACACTGACTGTACCCTCACCCCTACACTGACTGTACCCTCACCCCTACACTGACTCTACCCTCACCCCTACACTGACTCTACCCTCACCCCTACACTGACTCTACCCTCACCCCTACACTGACTCTACCCTCACCCCTACACTGACTCTACCCTCACCCCTACACTGACTGTACCCTCACCCCTACACTGACTCTACCCTCACCCCTACACTGACTCTACCCACACCCCTACACTGACTCTACCCTCACCCCTACACTGACTCTACCCACACCCCTACACTGACTCTACCCACACCCCTACACTGACTCTACCCTGTGTGGATTTTGTACATTTGATATTTGGACCATGTGTTCTGGGTTTCAGTTTAGTTGGCATCCGAGGCAAGAACTGGCCACTGTTACCCTACCTGGTGTTCAACATAGAGGATGGGCAGGAACAGAGCTCAACTGAAGGGTGGGTGTGCCTGTCTCTTACACCAGTCCTTCGCAGCAGTCCCTATCTAAAGTACATGTATTATCGTGAAAGAGAATCTACAGCAGTATGATCAGATGACAACACTCCTTCCTCTTCCTCTTTGGGAATTTGAAAGTTTTCTCTTTGGGTAATCTGTGATGTGAATGGATGCAAGATATGTGAAACTACTAGCACATCATTGGAGTTCCTGTTGTAAGAAACAATGGTTGACTTTCTTTAATGAATGGTTTTAGACAAGAATAACACTTCTGATCCCAAACTGTATACTGTGGGCTGTACCTAGTTGCAGCTTCCTGGACTGAAAGCCTGAGTGAACTCACTCCGCGGCCTGGCATTGATGTTTGTCACCACAGCAGGGTTTAGCGTTGATGAAGTTTTAATTGTATGAGAGTATGTAGGACCACATGCAACTTGTCATCAAGATTGTTTGTATTGTTAGATAAACAAAAATATTGATCAAATTGTGAGATATGTTTAAATCTCTAGTTCAAGTGCCAGAGAGCATGTACCTTGGTAAAATGTGTAGCACTTCAATACAGACTTAATCCTAGATCATTCCCCTGTTGTAACAGCAGATTCCTTAAAAATGCCCTGAAATCTCCTGAGCTGTTCATTGTGGCCATAGCACATTGTATTTTAGTTATATTTGTCAGAAAATGTTTACTATATGTTCTGTGTACTACTTGGACAAATTGATGTAGCATTCCAGACTCATCATGTGTGTCTCACAGCTGTTTAGAGGAACATGTCTGATGGATGTTGTATTTATAATGTTGATAAACATTGTGTTTGCAGATTTCTAAGAATTGTTACGCTTTAACACTTGTAAATCAGATAGCACATAATGTTTGTCAACATAAATAAGAACAAAACTTGTCCTTGTGAATCTGTTTCTACGGCAAGCATGGTAATGACAGGTAGGTTTTTTCTGCCAGGTCAGTGAGCAACCAAGCTGAGGCCAACTGTGTAGCAGAGCTTTGTCAACTTATCATGACCCGCTCCAAGATACCAGCAACCAGGATTGGAGTTATCTGCCCTTATCAGAGTCAACGGTGTCTTGTCAATAACTCACTCAGCTACAAGTAAGTACTTTTGTTGTCGCAAACAGGATCTTTGTTTCTTGTTTTGAGTCACACTCGGCAGTATACCAGCTATGTGATGGCGGCCTGTGAATAATAAAATCTGGAAACACATACTAGTGGTTATGAGCACTGTTATGTCCCACAGTGTCAGGGTGTCTTGACACACAATTATCCTTTTCTTACAAGTCTGACCACCAATCCTCTTATTTGCCTGGCATGGCAGGTTTATGCCGTTGGGGACCTATTCTAACTCGGAGCTCCCTCGGGATATGTTGCGCTGGGCTGGGTTGGGTGACTCAGACACTTAGGGCAGGTGGGTACTGAATAAGACCCGGGTACCCACAGGACTACCTGGACCAGTGGTTAGTCATGTGATATATTATTAATGACAAGATTTTACTAAAATTCCATGGTTACACTACAAGCCACTAATGTTTGCATATCTACTTACTTTCATATGTTTGAAGAAAGATAAAATTTCAGTCAGCTTCAGTGTATGCATGATTGTATTTTTTATAAGTCTATGTAAATAGTTTTTGCCAGGGCTCCAATGAAACAATTCCCAATCAAATATTAAGTACCCACCTCATGAGACCTACAGCTGGTACCATGGTAGGGTCTGATTATAGGGGGTCATGTACCGAGGTAGTAACTTTTGATTCCTCCCCTCCCTTTTCAGGGGCACACAAGATCAAACATATCCTGAACAGTTTAGCTTCTGTAAGATTGCCATGTGGTAGATGATTTTATCAGGATTCAATGAAAAGCTCTCAAAATGGAATGAATGACGACAACATCCATAAAAAAACACATGTTAAGAAGAAAAAGCTAAAGTTGTGGAACCTGTAGCATTAGCAAAGGTATGAGGTTTGTTTTCCTATTCTTCTGCATGTAACATGGACTGTGTTGTAATGCTTGTCTCCTGCAGGCGAGTGAGAGACGTGGAGGTCGGCACAGTGGACGGGTTCCAGGGCCGGGAGAAACACGTCATCATCATGTCCTGCGTGCGGGCTCGCAGGGCCGCTGGAAGTATTGGGTATGTTACACACCGTTAGCCTGGGTCAGAGGATATTTTGTTAAGAGGGCTTTTTCAAGTTATGTGTTTGAAAGATGTCTTAAAGAAGAAATGTTGACTCCTCATATAGTTACCTATGATGATAAAAAAGAGAGAAAACAAGTAATGGTTCCGATCGGTTGACTTTGCAGGTTCCTGTCTGACCGAAGGAGAATGAACGTGGCTCTCACCCGTGCTAAGTATGCCCTCTACATCCTTGGCCATCTTGACACTCTAAAGGTCAGTTTAGTTTCGGAGTGTGGTATCAGTGTTCCAACCGCCACCATTGTGTTTTCAAGTATGGGTCAAGATTGCTTTTTGATGTCACTTGCTACTGTTTAATTTCTAAAAAATGCAAATGTGCAATATTCAAACTATAAGATGGCAGGCTGTACATAAAACAAACCAGTGATTGATATTATGAGCATGATCCACTCCATCAACAAAGTCTCTGAGTCTGACCACATCATCCATTAAGTCACCTTGTATGACAAGTATAGGTTGCTGGAGACCATGTCTGACCCCAAATCCCCATAGGGTACTTACTGTACATGTAATAGTGGACCATGTGTGACCCCAAATCCCCATGGGGTACTTACTGTACATGTAATAGTGGACCATGTCTGACCCCAAATCCCCATGGGGTACTTACTGTACATGTAATAGTGGACCATGTCTGACCCCAAATCCCCATGGGGTACTTACTGTACATGTAATAGTGGACCATGTCTGACCCCAAATCCCCATGGGGTACTTACTGTACATGTAATAGTGGACCATGTCTGACCCCAAATCCCCATGGGGTACTTACTGTACATGAAATAGTGGACCATGTCTGACCCCAAATCCCCATGGGGTACTTACTGTACATGTAATAGTGGACCATGTCTGACCCCAAATCCCCATGGGGCACTTACTGTACATGTAATAGTGGACCATGTCTGACCCCAAATCCCCATGGGGTACTTACTGTACATGTAATAGTGGACCATGTCTGACCCCAAATCCCCATGGGGTACTTACTGTACATGTAATAGTGGACCATGTCTGACCCCAAATCCCCATGGGGTACTTACTGTACATGTAATAGTGGACCATGTCTGACCCCAAATCCCCATGGGGTACTTACTGTACATGTAATAGTGGACCATGTCTGACCCCAAATCCCCATGGGGTACTTACCGTACATCTAATAGTGAACCATGTCTGACCCCAAATCCCCATGGGGTACTTACCGTACATGTAATAGTGGACCATGTCTGACCCAAAATTCCCATGGGGTACTTACTGTACATGTAGTAGTGGACCATGTCTGACCCCAAATCCCCATGGGGTACTGACTGTACATGTAGTAGTGGACCATGTGTGACCCCAAATCTCCATGGGGTACTTACTGTACATGTAATAGTGGACCATGTCTGACCCCAAATCCCCATGGGGTACTTACTGTACATGTAATAGTGGACCATGTCTGACCCCAAATCCCCATGGGGTACTTACCGTACATGTAGTAGTGGACCATGTCTGACCCCAAATCCCCATGGGGTACTTACTGTACATGTAATAGTGGACCATGTCTGACCCCAAATCCCCATGGGGTACTTACTGTACATGTAGTAGTGGACCATGTGTGACCCCAAATCCCCATAGGGTACTTACTGTACATGTAATAGTGGACCATGTCTGACCCCAAATCTCCATAGGGTACTTACCGTACATGTAATAGTGGACCATGTCTGACCCCAAATCCCCATGGGGTACTTACTGTACATGTAATAGTGACAATCTGTTTGTTTCAGAGAGGACAGGACTGGCGTTCTCTCATAGATGATGCCAAACGAAGGGACGTTGTTGTCAACGTACCAACTGTCAATAATTTCAGTACCATGGCAACTAAGTGCTTCAAGCCTCAAAAGGCAGGCCTTTAGATCGACTTGTGAAAAAATGATGCACAGATAATAAGAAGATTTTAGTGTTTTATTTCCTGTATAATGGTTGAACTGTGGTGATGATCAAGGTCAAGGTCAAGGCCTATGTACAGGTGTGACAGAGTTTGGATATTGGACAACAGGCCTTCCCAAGGCCCTTACTCGACAACTGTGTATATTTGGCAAATATCTACACATTGCAACCAGCATGTACCTATCATATATATATCAGTAAGACTATTTGTATTTTCCAGTACTTATATTTACTATTGTACAGTTGGCAATGTCCTTGGTGTTTGTCAAAGTGCTTGTAGTTTTGTGGCCAAGGACAGAGAATGCCTGTATATATGTATAGAAGAATTCCATCATGGTGGCAAGGATGTTTGAATCATAGAGGCAGCAAGAAAACGTGACGTCTTCATGTATGTTGGATAGCTTATGAAAAGTAAGGAAATTTGCTTGAAGTGAAGGTCCAGTTGGTACATGTTTCTTGAAACAGCATCATGAGGTCAGAATTTCACACCTCCATCAGTATGACATCCAGCAATCTATGGGAGCTGTCAACACCATTTGTTTGGGGTGAGATAAGAAGACGCACTGAAATCACTCACTCAGAGGACAAGAACTAATAATGTTGCTCTTGTATTTGTAGTATTAAACTTTCATTTTGACAGACACTTGTGTAAAGTAAGGGGGAGTGGTATGTCTTATCCTCCTCTCCGCCTTTTCATATTCTTTTTAAAAAAACTTTGTTTTTACATTTCTTGTGTTTCCATGGAAACATCAAACTCTCAAAGAAGTAGCATTTGTTTCCCACCAAATCACTACAGCTAATGAATATTTCTGCTTGTTTCTGGTCTAAAACATGCTAGTATTGTATTTATGTTTGCAAACACATATTGAGTAACAAGTTGAACTAATGTATCAAATTAAAGGTGGGGGGACCGATATATGTTTTTGAGTAAAAACACATGCTGCCTTCCTGGTTGTTCTAGTATTACAACAGTGTTGTGACAGTACCATCCCCTTCTTACACTGGTGATGTCACCATGTCAAAATACAAACACCTTTGTATAGGCTCTGGAACATTGTTGGGGAGTTAAAGGGGCACTGATCTAACGCAATTCCCCGGGACTGGTTGTTGCCTTTGTTATTGTTTTTTCCCAGTGAGTACCCGGATGTATAGCAGAAATCTAGACTAGTTCGCGACCTCTGCTGCGCCATTCGTAAGCGCATTAGTCACTTTTATGGGTAGTAATAAGGGCGTATGGTCACATTGATGAACAAAATGAAATACAGTTTTCGAGATAATAAGGAAATGTAGGTATCTTTGCAGGTAGCATTGGTAATGGTGACGAAATTTTGATAAGTCACTTGCTTGGTAATTTTGCGATTTTCGTTTACACTATTTTGCCTTGCAACACAAAGTAAATATTTCACCTGAGGCATTGCTTTTTTTTATAGTGTGTATATTTTTTTACTGTCAAAATGTGTAACATTTTCAAATTTATTAAACGCCTAAATATTCAGTTATTTTACAAAGTGACTGAAAAACATTTCCATCTGTATTATTATGATAACGAATTCCAAACATTTTGATGTTTAATGTCATCACCAAGAGACTGAAAATGTTACGTTGAAAAGTACATTTCTGTGATGTTTGGCTTCTAATCCAACATAATAATCTGTTGTGATGTTTGTAGGCCCTTTTGATCGTCTTAATCATTTTTAGTCAATCTGAAGAATTTCCCAACCAAGACGTAGAGGAACAAGAACGAATCGGTTCAATGCTACAGCGAATGAAGGAAAACAAAATGCAAATACCATAATTACAACCTACCAAATTTATGTGTATAAATTTTGGGCAGCTTCCTTGTTCGAGGAATGTATCCGTAAATATCCACACAAAGGAACAATATCCCACTCGCCTGCAGCTGTACAAAGAAACTTATTCGATGTCACGTGTCTCTGTAACAATCAAATATTCTAAAATCTATATATCGTCTCGGAATATTATAACCCGTGTTCCTTTCTCAACTGATCACTTAGATTGTTTCAGGTGTTTCACATAGGTGTCAAGTCTCAAGGGTCGGCTGAGAAAGCCCATGTGACAACTATTTTCATAACGTCCACGGTTCCTAAAAAAACCATTGAGTGATAGATAACAATCAGCAATCAATCAACGTATTATTAGTTAACCCTTTGAACAAAGTATGTTGTTTTTACATCGACACTTCATGCCATGATATGAGTGTATTCCCTTTGTTTTAGTAAACCTAGACATGTAAACACTCCCTTTTGACATATCCACTGTGCAAGATAACAGTGATTAATCAATCAACGTATTTTCTGTTAATCCTTTAATGACTAGGAACGATCCGTTGATTTACAAAAAAAGTAAATGAACTGATCATTCACCTCTTGCTGGGCTGCCACGTGCATATTACATAACACACATTTCACCTCACTTCAAACCTGGATTTAGATTGAATAATTACCCCAGACACAATAAATGCCAAATGGGAACCTTTGTCAGGTAATCTAAGTGGTGCTACCACTAATTGTACCTGTAATAAATTCATTAACTGAGCATCAAGTGAATGACGACAAATACACAAGTGTAGGGTTATACCAGAAAACGTGGATGACAACAAGTGAGTAGTAATCGTATTATCGACGCAATCCGAAATCCGAAAATGCTTTCACTGCATGGATACTTTTTTTATTATTAAACTATAACCATCTGGGGTATTTCCAAAAGACGACATACGATGAACTCCGCCGTTCTTTTTTTTTCTGTTTGTTTAGGCTGAAGAAATTAATTAACATGCGCCTTTTGTCGAAATGTTTATAGATCACGGTTAAACTAATCAGTGTTCAAAAATGTGTAAAACAAATATTGCCTCCAGCCTCCAAGTTTATTTAGCTGTCCTTGCAGACGGTAGCCCAGTCTCTGGTCACGCTCAGTTGCGTTGCGTATCACCCGGGTACTCACGGGGAAAAAACAATAACAAAGGCAAAAACCAGTCTGGGGAATTGCGTTGGATCAGTGCCCCTTTAAGGTTGTATTTTTTGACAAGGTGAATTTTTGTGAAAAAAATGAAAGGTAAGGTAAATGATAATAATTATTAGCTCTATACAAATTATCAACTTATAGCGCATTCTTTAAGTTAGTCATTGATATTGTAACTTGTCATACCTATATAGCTATGGACAACTGCAGTGCAGGAATGCTTTGAGCTGTTGATTTCATGGAGCAAATTGCCCAGGATGCAAGTACCGGTATCTTCAAGTGATACTTGATAAGTTTCAACATTTTGACATACATGTGGAAACATGGTGCCAGACGTGACGTGTAGGAACATATTGTGAAAGGCAACAGTGCAGAGAGGTGCTGCATACTCTCTCTACATAATGACAGATAGCAGTGCCAGACGTGTTGGAACATATTGTGAAAGGCAACAGTGCAGATAGGTGCTGCATACTCTCTCTACATAATGACAGATAGCACTTTGATTTGTAGGACAGACCTAAACTTAGTTTGTGACTTAGTGACAATTCTTTTTATTTTGAAAAAGTTTTTAACTTTGTATTTTTAAGGTAGTTGGTCTTGTTACAATAATTTATGTTTATCCCTTATTCACATTTGTCCCAAAGAAGTAGCTAGGAAAAATTCTGGTGTTACAGGGAGGAATGTTGTGTTTACATAATCCTGAATGATGATGTGTTTTGATAGTCAAGCTTTTATTATATTGTTTGGCCATGATTATTAACGATGATGTAAATATTCAATATGTGCATCATTGTTTTGTTACTTTAGTTTTTTTGTATGCATTTCAAAATGAATGCAATGTTGTTGAATGGCATTAAGATGATTAATTTTTTTCACCATGTGTAGAGCTAGTTGTGTTAATGGCTGATAAGTTCCGGCATAAATTGCTTACTGAGGCTACCTCTTTACCACACAGCCTTGGTAGCTACAGGATGGCTTCAGCTTGGTGTAGTCCTTAACACTTTCCGATTCACATACCGGTTTAGAATCAGCTCCACATAATTGTATATCAGCATATATAAGATATCTCCACGATAAATCTCAAAGAAACAATGGAGAAAGGGGCATATTATATTTCACAAAAAAACTTTGTCTTATCATGACGTAATTTCTGGAAATTCAACCATGCTCTCGCAATTTGATGAAGTCTTACATTATTTGATGCTATTTTTGAGAGGGTAGTGAGTTGTTGCCCTTTATACAGTAAACTACGTCTATAACAAACACGCTTATAACTAACTGGCGGATATAACAAAATTTTGGTTTCAGCCATTTGCTGTATATATGTTTCCCTTTAAGTTTGTTATAACCATAGTTTACTGTAGATGTAGCTCGGTAATGTAGATAAACGCAATGGCCGAATGATTGCATCCCATAATGTTGATATCACATATACATGTACATGTATAAGAAATACATGTTTCGTGGTAGTTGTTTTCCGTACAATAACTGCAGGTATAATAAACCAAGTGATTTATTCTCCTTAGCAGTGTTTTATTTTACAATAAACAACTCCTCATTGTTAATTTCTTAACTATTACACTGCCACATCGGGTGAAGCTGGCATATATATAATAAAGGCATAAGAGTTCATAACTGTTTAAATGGTACAGACTATATTTTTTTACTTATCCTGCATTACTACGTTTAAGGAGTAATGCAGGATAAGTATACAAATGTAATATTTAGATTTTACTAAATTTTTTACTTATCCTGTATTACTCCTTAAACGTAGTAATGCAGGATAAGTATACAAATGTAAAAAATATTTAGATTTTACTAATTACTGCCAAGACACTGGAAGCTCAAAGTAGAGCCTGTATCAGCAAGATCTGCTGCTATGTGCACATGTAAACCAGATGTAGAAATCCCCTGCCTGCTGACCCAAACATTTGTCAGATATACACCAAGTAAAAAAAATAAATCTGTCTTCACATTGTAATGTGATATGATCCGCAACTCCAAAGTATAGGTGGTGTGATAAAATACAGGAAAGTTTAACACTTCTCACGTGTCATCATCAAAGGAAAGAAAAGAGGCTTAAATGAAAACTTATCTAGTCATTCAGGATATGGTACCATCATCACAAGGCAAGGGAATTATCTGCTTGTAAAAGTCCAGTTTCCACCATTGCTGAATTAGGCTGGAATTATGGAGTAACATTCTTGCTGGACTAATGAGTCTATGCATAGTCCATCAAAATTGTGGAATGAAATTAATATTGGGTTCATAAACAACATGGTGACTACCCTGCAGATTCCGGTGGATTGCAGGATTGACAGATAATGTATACCATCAACTGGGCATCTACAGATGATTTCCAAATCTTTTCTGACATGTTTTAATCAAGGTTTTCAAGTGATTTGATGTACTTTGCGAGGTAAGGCCCATTTCATTACAATAAAGATCTTGATAATCAATCAGAATGTCTGGACTGGGCACTGCCATTTTATTTGCAGAATATTCAAGTGATAGGAGAGGTGGAATCTGAATGGTCAATAGGAGGGACATAGAAGGGACATAACTCATAACTGCCACTGGTTGCACTACGACGAGCCACGGAATTCTAGCCTAGTCCGGCAAGGGAACTCTCTGGCATTGGGAAGATGGATATGGTACATGTTACAATAATAGTCGTATCTACAGTTAGTTACCATACTCTATGCATGTCCTCTGGTATATGCTTACTCAGTGATGCAGTATAAAGTAGATATTCCATTTGACCTCTCACTGTCACAGTAGATATTTCACAGTATCTGAGTCACTGCAACATATAAATTGCAATTGCAACCATGGACATGAGACACTGAAATCTGGAAATCTGCAGGTCGGATAAAGTAGAATGTATATGTTCACATCAGGCCAAAAAATGTACTAATGGTACTAATAAGCAGAAGAAGGAGGTAACTCATATAGCGGTCAATTCCATAGCCGTGTATGCTCAACGCAGGACAGATAACAGGATGTAAAACAATGAAGTTAATCATCTGACTGATGCCGTGGAAGTGTGTAGAATATTGGAGGGGTCATGCAAATATGACAGCAAAAGAGGGTGGGTAACCAAATGTTATGAAAAAATGTGGCATAAACAGTGCATGCATTGCAGCAAAGGATGATAGTCGTCATAAGACCCAAGCCTTATAAATTACCAACCCCCTAGACAGTAACAATGTGATCAACAACTGCTAAATATTGTTATGTATTAATGTTGTTTATGAAGATATGCACAAGGCAGTGAAGAATCATGTATTATCAAAGTATCAACTCTATCCAAATTTACTTTTTCTGAAAAAGCTTTGCTGGAATGATCTATCATTTATTATTTGGAAATTGAACTGATCCATACTTCACTATTTATCAACTTGTACTCACATGGTTTTCTTTTAGGTTATTGCAATTTTAATACTATTATTGCATGTTTCCATTAA